TAGGAACATAAAATATGCGGTCTTTTTCCATGGATGAAGGAAGGAACTGAAATAAAAACTTTTTGGCTCTGCCTCCAGACTTGGGACACGGAATAGCTTTGTTGCATATGTCTTTGTGATAAAGTTAAATTGAAGGAAATGCTGAACAACTCTACCAAATGTGGTTTCCAAATGTGTAGCAAGGAATCTATTTTTCAGCATAATAGAGTTACCTGTAGTGCTAAGCAAACACTGTTTCTGCAAAGTGAACTTTATTATACTGCCAGAAACTCTCACTCCTCCTGCCTCCCACAGACAGTTTCTGCAATGTAATTACAAAGCAACATTTGATTTTGCTGAAACCTGTATGGAGTCACGTTTAAAATAACATGTTTTAAAAAACTGTTGGATTCAAAGTAATAATCTGAAAGGACAGGAATCCGTCTCTATACACCAAGATACACTGAGTGAGCCTGAGATGGTGGCACTATCACCACATGCCTTTTCTCAGTGGGCTTCATAACTTTGGCATAAACCTTTATAAATAACAGCTGCAGAAAGCAAATGCCTGCTACCTTGCTCATCAGCCTTCAAATACAAAACCAGCCTACAAAGCATGGGACAAAGGTGTTTCAATGTAGCAGAAGACAAGAAACTCCTTGTTGCGTATTTTGAAGCAGTAGAAGTGAATAGCAGATAGCTGTGTTGCAGCAAAATAAAGACGAGACTTTTCTGTGTTAGTATGATGTGTAGCACTGTTTTCAGCTTTCTAATTATCATCTCTGTAATTACGTATAAAAGCCGCACTTTCAAGACAGAAGGCAAAGCATGCAAGCAGAAACACCTCTTATCCCAAGTTAGGTACTATGCCAGAAAGGGTTTCAGCCTTTAGAAGCCTGAAGCTAAGCTTATACTCAAATGTGTTTTAAACAATCCTTTTTTCCTGGCCCAGATTCACAGTCTGTCATCATGAAGTGCCACTTACAGCACTAATCAGAATAAGAGAATTCGTCATTGCCATTACAGCTGTCACGTAAGAACTATCTTTTGATGGTTTTCTTTTAAATATGTAAGGTGGGTATTCCTGAAGGTGGAATTAATGAAGTGAATTGATTCTACTACTCAGATATACAGTGAGTCTATTCTCACACTAATCTTAAAAGTGCTTTTACACTTTGTGAGTCATAGCAAAATGAGAGTAAGGTGCAGTGTGGATGCAGGAATATGTAAGTATAATTACAAATGGATATTCAGAACTTCACAGGATAACCAGTGATGTTACTTTGTAATGACTGCCAAACACTTTAAAATAAAACACCATGCTCATTCCCTTATTCTCAGGAATATTACTTGCCTTCATTTTCTCACAACTGGAGCACAAACACACCACATTTTCTGAATGCGATGGAAAGTTAAAATAGTAGTATTAGTGGAATCTGTCTGATAATTTCATTATCCTTCTTTGTTTCCTACAAAACTGGAAATTAGTTTCCTTCACTATGGACAAATACTCAGCCTTGGGCCTCAGAATTTTTCCACTTGCTGTCTAGTGCACTAAGGATGCAATGACATTATGTCACTCAGTAGCTTTAGCTTTGCAGGCATGAAAAAAACACCCCAAGTTTAGTGGACATGATACAGCAAGCAAACATATATAGACAACTTTCTAATATACTAAGGAGGTCAATCAATATGTTGTGTGTCAAGCAGCTGAAAGGTAAATAAACAACCTCAGACTTTCAGCCAACAGCTGGAGCTGTGGAGATCTCAGCTTCACCTCTGACTGAGTACAAAAACCAAAAGATGCTTTCTTAAGTATAAAACTATGAGAAACTGGTAGGGTTCCACAGCAGAACACAGGGAAAGTTTCTGGGGCATGTACAGCATGCCTTGGCAGAGGAAGCAAGACTCGCTTTACTATTACCCTGCGAGTTTTATAAAACTTTTAAAAACTAAATTTTGACCTGGATGACTCTTCATATATTTTCATTCCTTTTCATGTGCAGAGCTGGATTAATAATTTCTCATTCCCTTCTTTGAGGTGAAATAAGAAATGAGAAAACTTACTTACCCAAGCTGCTGAAGAGATTCAATTTGGTCCTCCTTTCTCTGTGATATGTGCTCTCCATTGGGCCTGTAAGTAAAGGTGCAAGTTGTCACTTATACTCCTTTGAGTAGAAATAGTGGTATTTTTTCCTCTTTAACAATCCCTCTATAGACTTGCAAAACAGCTATTTCTAAGGAACAGTTAAAACACATAAAAAAACATTCCATGTGGACAAATCTATTTCCCCAATACACTTTCTAGGTTGCAAAGATGATTACTGAAGACATTTTGCAACAAGGAGTGCTACAAAACAACAGCAAATTGAACAAATATCATAGGTGTAAAATATATTTGTTGCATATTGTTTGTCTTTCCAAGCAGAAATGGAGGAAGTAAGTGGTTTATTTTACTATTTACCATTTCAGAAGTAACACGATGAACAATCTCTTATTAAAGGAACAAATATTGGCAGTAAACATCCAAAATTTAAAGTTAACAGATACACAAAGAACATACTTAGAGGACACATGGTGTAACTGACAGAAGGAAACTCCAAAAAGAGGTACATTTAAAATAGCCTCATTATCTATCTGAAAGCTGTTGAAAGACAAGGAGTATGAGATGAATTTGCAACAATGGAAACAATTTATCTCTAACAAAATAAAAATAAGCAAATCATAATCTGATCATTAATTCCTCTGGCGGTGGTATAGTCTCCGAAGAGAAACCAAAGAAACTCTATAATTAGTAACTCTTAAAATCAACATTGCTGGAAACTATGCTAGAGGTCAGAGTAGCTCCAGCAGAGATCAGGATGACTGCGACAATGAATACAACCAACCCCAGAATTCTTCTGCAGATAATTCCCAGTGAAGCCAGTAACCATATGTAATGGTTTAAAATGTTGAGTGCTGTGACGTGAAAGCATCAAAGCAAGAGGGTATGCTTTAAACGATAGTATAAAATTCAGAAAATTGTTAAATCTGTTTATATACATTATGAATATTGAGGAAATATCTTATTGATAAAAGTATTTTTTTTCCTAGGAAGAGAAAAATACGTTCTATACTAGCATGTTGCATGTTCACAGTTGTACATTACTTGTGCACAGCTAAGGAGCAATAGTAACTAAATGAGAAGAAACTGTCAATTTTTCATCCCTAGCACAACTGAAGAGCATGTTACTTAATTACTTTAACTGAATCTGCCAGTATGCTTCACAAGCTCCTGGTAAAGTATAAAGTGGCTCTTTCTGCTTCCCAGCTGAAAGGATCAGAGGTGACTAGGGCTTTTCCCCTCCTATAAGCCTTAGGCATTAACTGGGGACAGGTGAAGGTGGCAAATTAAGAGAAGTTTTTAAGCAATGCTGAAGGATTAACAGTCCTGTAATTTCTGCACAGAAAACTAGAAATTTCCCATGCTATAAGTCTGCACAGATCAAGCAGCCCATTTGCAAAGATAAGAAAATTATGTGAATGAACTTGCTTTGTTCTCTGTGCATTTTACTAAATATGAGTTACAAAATCACTATAAAAAGTTTCTCAAAGGCAAAAAGTTTTCAAATTATGCCAGAATAGATTGCTGGTCTTCTCTTCAGGCTGTGCTATTACTGGATGGCTTTTACCACTCAGCTCTGTCGTAATTGCATTCATGCTTTTTGTACAAAAGGGCGTGACCCTTCTCACTGAAGTGGATGAGGACACTCAAATACAGTGGAGTCTACAGCCATGGTTATGTAAGTAAAACGGGCATCGCCGAAGAGATTCAAATATCTAAATGGGATTTAGACATCTTATTAAAGTACTGGCCTAAAGGCTACCTCTGCATCTGCTCACTTGACAGAAAGGTAAGTTACTGCTATGGGCAATATTGTTTTGCCAGACAATCCAGACCATTAGTTACTAACAGTGAAAGCAACCCAGTGTCAGGGCTTGGTCTTCCACTGCCTTTCAAAAAAGATTCTGAACTTCTAAAGATGTGTTTAGTAGTACTTTACAGTGGCTGATGCCCAAAGACAATAGAAACTGATGCTGTGCTACACTCATTAGATCCAAAGCTTAACTAAAACATTAATTTTACATTAAACAATGAGTTTTCTAAAATGTTGTTAATTGGCTGTGGTATCTCAGGTATCCCATGCCATCATGCATTTTTGGCTAAGCAAAGCTACAACACGGTCTGCTTAGGGCAAACTGTACTATAAGGCAGCTTCTCTACTAATGTTGCAAACTGGCGAGGTAGGATCAGGGAGCAGTCTGCAAGTACCTGTTATTTTAGGAAGGCCTCTGGAGACACCAAATTGTGTGAGTGGGGCTGTGCAGCTTCCAGGCAAAAGACGGCTCCTGTCTGGATGGCTTCAAAGCGAGCAGGGAAAGCAAGGCATCCGTTTGGGTATTGGGCCGTATTCAGCTTTTCACTGAATGAGAACAATGCTTTTAGGGTTGTCACAGGCTCAGGGTGGACACTGCATTAATGCAAGGAAAGATTTGTACAAATAAAGTATTTGTACAAAGTCATGTTAACTTCTGAACTTGATCTTCTGTCACTGTCTATTCCCTCAAAACTTTTGCCAGAATCCTCTTAAGACTTTGGATGAACCTCAAACGAGACCTGTTTAACCAGCAACGATACCACATCAGAGGAGACACTCCATCATCTTTGTGCTCTCTGGCATCAGTAAGGGCCAACTTCAACAGAAAGGTGAAGAAACCCTGCCCTGGACACTTTCCTAATGCAGTTATGTAGTTACTGCACTGCCACGGGTTGAATTACTACAAAGAATGGACAAACTGGGAATGAGACAGATGACCTTTGAGAGTCAGGCAGGCCTGGCCTGGGCCGGCTGGTGACCCTCAGAGCTTACCAAGCCCCGCGGCAGCTCTGTAGTGGCCTTGGCGGTACGGGCGGGGCGGAGAGCCGAGGGAGAGCCTCTTGCGGTACCAAGGCGGTAGCTGAGGGGGTTTTACCCCCGTAGAGGCGGGCGAGAGGAGCGCCGGGGCCGGACCAGAAACCTCCAGCATCCTCCGTCCCTTCGCGGGGCGCCTGCAAGGGCTGCCCGGCACGCTCTGCTCCCTCACGCCCCTGAGGCGGCCGAGGGCGGCGGCGGGAGGGGGCGCGCCCCCTCCGGGGAGCCCTTTACCTCACCTTCGCCTTCCTCGGGCCCCCGGCCCCTCTCCCCGAGACCCACCACCGCCCCGCGGGCGGCCCACAGCCTCTGTCAGGGTTCGGTGGGGGGAGAGGAAGGCACAGCCTACCCGCCGCCGCCGCCCCGCCCGTCAGCTGTTGCTGGCCGGGCCCTGCGCGCCGGCCGCTGATTGGCCGCCGCGCGGCGCCGCCCGGCCCTCGCTATAAGGCGGCGCGGGCGGGGGAAGGGGCCGTCGCGCCCGCGGTGGCGTCTGTGGGAGCGCGCGCGGCGGGGCGGTGTGTGGCGGCAGCGGAGCCGTGACGGACGGTGAGCGGCGGGGGTCGGGCCCTTAGCCCCGGCGGGAGATTGAGCTGGGCGGGGTGCTGG